ATACAGTAACTGACTATCTAGAGACCACGCGACAACCGAAGAAAACTCGCACACAGAAATACAGTAACTGACTATCTAGAGACCACGCGACAACCGAAGAAAACTCGCACACAGAAATACAGTAACTGCCTATCTAGAGATCACGCGTCAACCGAAGAAAACTCGCATACCTCGGCAGTCTGTCGATTATCCATGGTGCCGAGGACGGAGTGCAGAGCACCTATGTTGTACATGATCGCCGACATTTCGAATTTCACGTCTGCGTACGTGCCCCACGTGTTTGTGTACACGTCTGCCCTGAAATCATGAGAGAGACGCACACATTCACTAGACATCTCAATGCAGCTGGGCCACAGCCTATGTGCGGGGAAATGGTGGCAGTTGCGACACCTAGATTTTGGAGAGCAAAAAAACAAGCTTAGGTAATAATTGTGAGTACATTTATTAAATAAGAAATAATGGAATACAAAAACAAATACAAATGACAAAAACATAATTATCCCTACAGTCTAACCCTATCCTACTACATCAGGAGGTCGAAATTAGCGGTATCCCGATAGCCGCAGGATAGTAGATTTTTGTGTTGGATATCAGATTGCCAATGCTTGGTATCCTGCCTCAATAGTAAAAAAAAAATCGTCAAAATCGGGATAGTGGTTTGTGGATTGTGGATAAGTTATCAACTTTATACGGCAGTGCATCTGAGCGAGTGCGCGTAGAGCGAGTGCGCACGATCTGAACGGGCTCAGGCACCCTGATTCTCATCGGATGTATCCATTACTACGCCACACTAGCATTATACAGCGGGCATACTATGAGCGTAGAAAGCATGGCGGATGATCATCAGGGTGGGCTCAGGTCAGCGATACACGTACATTAACGTGTTATACATTGTATCAACCAAGCCAGACATGCAACAATGCGTCTCTAGATACATGTACGTTTGCAGCGTATTGTGCAATCCTGGCCGTACGTAAAATGAATGCGCGCTCGCTGGTGCGCGGGCCGCGAGCGATCGATCGCCCAGGAGCGATGAACGAGAAGAAGCGCGAAACGTCATTATTGCTTATTTCAAAGTTTTGGATACCAACATTGTTGAAATTACTATCTAAATGAAAGTGTCAATGACACTGTAGCTCACCTTGGGTGTGATAGAAGAGGGAGGGGGATATATAAAGCAAGAGTATATGTGACCGGTGATAGCGAAATGAGTCACTTGGGGCAATTTGGACATTTTAGGTTGAATACATATTCAGATACCTGAGATTCATAGCTTTCTATTGTTATATAGATATTGAAAATTGGTTGAAAAATGAATATTTTATTACCATTATAAATCGAGATATCATGCGATTAAAATTTCCTGAGAATTGTCTAAAATAAGGGCTGAAAACTAATATCATTCACTGATATTATTAGCCGACACTTCTTATAAATCATTCAATTTAATTAAGACATTTTTGCTTATACAGATCAAAAGTAAACATTGTAGATGGTTTTTTTGGGAAAAAATTTTTTACGAAAATTTCCAACATTTTTTTTACTTTTTTTGGTAAAAATCGATTGTACAGTAGAATGCTACTGTGCGACTTCCGACTCATTTGGCTATCACGGGTCACATATGGGAGAACTCCCATTATATAGCATATCTCCCATTATATACTCTTGATAATGATATATGCATGAGTTTTGATGCGAAAATAAATGTTTCAGATCTGAAAGTCTGAAATCTTGACGAGAGATGGCGCTACGCCTAAATGATCGCCATTTTGGTTTTCAAATATCGCGCAAATAAAAACAATAAAATATTCCAGTCAAATTAGTGTAACGAAGAATCTAAAACCCAATATTACACGTATATAGGTATGATTGTAGAGTTGTTGACCAGTTAGACGAAATAAACGTAATAGGATGTTGTCATCTCTCCCATAGGAGTAACAACTGTTTTGGGGCTAGCCTTACACATTCACATACCAAAATTTAACAAAATCGAATGAATTTAGATGGCCATTTCCATTTTTTCCAAAAAGTGGGCGTGGCTCGAAAGTAGGTCGACTGGCGTGCTCCAAAATAGGAAGTTCAAATCTCTCCCATAGGAGTAACAACTATATGCAATTTGAAACATGTGGGTCAAACGGTTCTTGAGTTATCGTTGACCGTAGGCAGACACTGAAATGCATAGTGAAATTGCCAAAATCTACCTAATTTGCAAAATAAAAAATAAAAAATATAAACCTATGTGATATGTTTTGGGGTCAGTCCTCATTCATTCACATACCAGAAATGAGCAAAACCCATTGAACCTGAACTGACTTGTGGCCGTTTCAAATTTTGCCAAAAAGTGGACATGGCTCGAATGTAGGTCAACTGGCGTGCTCCAAAATAGGACGTTCAAACCTCTCCCCTAGGAGTAACAACTATATGCAGTTTGAAACATGTGGGTCAAACTGTTCTCGAGTTATCGTTGACCGTAGCCAAATGTTGACGGACGGACGGACGGACGTACGACAGACGACACCCCATGGCAATAGCTCATCTTGGCGATGTCAAGGCGAGCTAAAAATCTAATTTCAACCCCTGTACATGTGATTTAATTCTTTAAAATTCCTTCCCCCTCCCCTGAATTTGCTCGAGCATTGATGAAGGGATAGTTCTAAAAACTCTGCTGAATAACTAGTCTAAGGCTAAACAGAATTTACCATGTACACGTAAAAACACGTTACAATCTGGACTGACTATACTAAAAGCAACGACCAACCAATTATTCAAGTTTGGGAAGTATCTCTCTGAGGCGGATACCTCAATTAACCTAGTCAAACCTTCGAGTGAATGTGTTAGCCAGAGACCCATCTACCCGTCTTTTGGACAGCCTATTCTTGGATGAGAGTCAAGGATGAAATTTGATAGGGACGGCATGAGGACGGCACAATATATTATACACCTTGTATAACTGACAACGGTGCTTATAAAAATCATATAGATAAATATATATAGATAGATATTTTATAAAGAATATAAAATCATATCAGATTCTGGTCCTTTTGGCATTTCACACTAAATTTCCTCCATTTTAAAGTGAGGCCCTCCCCTATAGGGCGCTCAGATAGTGAGACTCCCCGATTTTTTTCCCTGGCCAACACCATGCTTCGAGTGAGATTCAAGTCGTTCAAAAATCACGGTTACCAGGTAAAATTCACAGCCGCCGCTCCGCCCTCGCTCATCGGAAATCGACTCTGCAGCAGATGCAGCTGTGCAAAGTATCTCTTGAGGACACTGCATCCCATGAAATCCTTGCTTGCCTTAATCGCGTTCTGTAACGACACACACGACGACTCTCTCACGCAAGCGTATTACCTAACTCGAAAAGGACCGCGCAAGACTCTAGCTCGAAATACCGCATGTAAGTAAGAATAAAGTCAGCAAATACAGCTTATATTCGTTAAAGCACTCGGGGTCTAGAGCTTATATTCTGGAGTCGAACGATCCGCAATTTACTGGCAGACTTCCCGATTTGACATCGGGAAGAATAAGTATGACTCAGTGAAGGATTAAGCAAACAATTGAATATCCGGCCTGCGAGAGTCTACAAGTTAAATTAGCGTCCGTTTCACCTGTCTCAGCTGTTCCAGCTCCTTTATTTCTTTGTTGTACGATTCCGGATCTTCATGGTAGTACTCCTTTACGTACTGAAATAAGGGGGGCAGAATTTAACATTCAAATAGTTCCACCGAGCATCAGTTATCAAAGGAAAGCCATTGTATTGACACTGCCGTTATTATCGCTGCCCAGTTACTCTAGATCGAAATAATGCCACAACTTCCCATCTGCTACCATTACACCTACAACTGTACAATGTCACTTATAATAATATGCAAGCAGCAATGCTCATAGGGTCTATGTCCCCCAGGGTACTGCCGGAACGTAACCTGGGTACGGTCCGGTATACCGGAACGTATATGCTGACAAACAACCAACATATCAGCAAAGGTATGATTTCTCTGCTACACATTACGATTCTATAAATGATCATTGACATTGAAAACTGTACGTTGTTGTAAAGAAAAAGTGAAACGGTCATTCGATGCACTTTCTATGTATTCTGAACCGTTCTTTGCAGGTAATTCTATTTGTGTTATTGTTGTTCTGTGTTTGTTCAGTGATGGGCAAGGGCCAAGGCAGAGCTAACCTACAGTTGTTTCACTCCAACACCGCCAAGGAACGAAATGTCATTAATGCCTAGTTGTGACAGACATTATTACTCAACGACGACAGACATTATTACTCAAACGATGACACATAATAGTTAATACCGTAACTCTGTGCATCCGGCCCTAGTCTAGAAGACATTTTCCACAATACTTCATGTCTACAATACAATACACAGTGGGTCATGTCTTCTAGACTAGCTCCGTGCATCCTACTAGTACTGTACTGGTTCAAGAAATCGGCCGGAATAAGATAAACAAAACGAAATATTTTCGCCACAACGTACACAACTGACGTGAACTGTCACAAGCTCCTGTGGCTAAACTCTCATCTAACAAACACCAAAGGCAACCGATACACAAAAATACACGGTAGCTATTCACAAAAGATTAATCATTCAATCACAAACCTTTTTAAGTGCTGCTGAAAAGTCTGTCGATTCTGGGCTTGTTTTGAGCTCCAGAGAGATCATCGGCATTAGAGGAACAGCCTCCATTTTCTCAGTGACGTCATCAATTTCTGTTTTGGTCCGCAACTGGGTCGGTCTATGTTATGATTTTAGAGGGGGCGGGGTATAGGAACATCTGGAAACCGGAAAACACCAGCGATAAACTTTAAAAAAATGATATATGAGATTAAAAAGAACTGGAAATTGTGATATCATGGGAAATGCCATATTTTTACATGAGGTTCAGGCAGTGGGCCCCCCACCCCCATGCAGTTCCTCCATTTTACTTCCTATTTGAGTAATTTTATTTGCACATATATCATATGTAATTTATTATACATTTTATAACACTTATATAACTTATATAACTTCTACACTTTATATAACACACATAAAAATGTACTTACAACACTCACAAATACACACGCGCACACACACATACATGCACTGGCGCCCACAGGTCTTACGAAAGTAGAAGCACAGACGGATAAAATCCTCAGTGCTAATAAAAAGCAAGCGCCGTAGGCGCGCTGCATGCTAGGGGGGTCTGGGGGCATGCCCCCCCCCTGAAAAAATTTTAATCAATGGTAGACGTCTGGAGATGCAATCTGGTGAGTCTTGCGAGAGAGATTTAGGAACAAAATGTAGGAACAAAATTGTTTAACCGAAAATTTACTGGAAGCACTGTGCTTCCAGTGCTTCTATCTGCGGGCGCCACTGTACACACACACACACACGCGCGCGCACACACGCGCGCGCACACACAGGCTCACTCACACACACGTATGCACGCATGCACGCACGCACGTACATACGCATGTCACATATGCATGCACGCACGCACGCACATATACGCATGTCGCATGCATATATACGCACACACACACGCACACGCACACGCACACGCACACGCACACGCACACGCACACGCACACGCACACGCACACGCACACACACACACACACACACACACACACACACACACACACACACACACAAACGCACGCACGCACGCACATACGTGAGTTCGGAGTCATGGCTCAGTTCATAGGTTAGGACCGCCGAGGTCACGGAACGTGTATTTTTTCACGTGCGAAAAAATAATTTTCCTGATTCTGTTAAAATAAATTAAAAGCCGGTTATGCGTAAGCTGATATGGGGAGAGACAAATATACAAGGGAGAGCGAAGGAAAGTGGGAGAGAAGGAGAGGGAGAATCAAGGAGAGGTATAGAGAGAGGGAGGGGAGAGAACGAGCGCGCAAGAAAGAGAGAGGGGGAAGCAACCTCAAATAAGTGACCCTCGCCCCCTGTATCGCCTCCTGTATCAGCTGTTGTCTTCTCGATCCACAAGTCTACGTCGTACTTCCAATCTGACAATAATTCTATATCATATGAGCACACCCCGTTGTGCATGCACGCACGCACACGCACGCGCGCGCACACACACGAACGCACGCACGCACGCATACACACGCGCATCTATGTAGGATCACAGCGTCATCATATATCAATATTGCCCTATAGATGGTGATTGAACACTTAATCGATTGATTTCATAATTACATACACGCATAAATCTTTACGTCTTACTTTGTTTCACCATCTCCCAACGTTTGCTTTTTATTACAGTAACTACCATCCCTTTTAGCTATCGACTCGACAGTAGTATACACCGTTGCCCTGTTGTTACCATATGTGAGTGAACTAATTTCTTTGCTGCTATGTCACTAGATCTCTATCTACAGGAGGAGAATAAAGAAGAAGTGGGAAAGAAATGTGCGACACATGAAATGCGAAGATATTCATATTCATGTAATATTACCATATGTTGCCTTTTCTATTTTCAATAAATTTAACATTTTTTCAGTTGCATCGATGCACATCTTTTGACCATATGTGTAACAGTACGTTAAATATACACGGCATTTTTATACCGATGGAGAGGGATGAAATCAAACCGAATCTTTACAATGACTGTATTTAACACATTCTACTAGTACATATACGCAAGGGTAGTGTGGAAGTCAATATGGATCTTCAGAATTGTTATATTTAGTAGATTCTACTACCGCAAAAACGAATTATTACTTGGCTAACAAAAAGATTCACTTAAAGGAAGTTCCAGTGAAATATGGAGAAGAGAAAAAAACAATAATAAAGATAACAAATATGTAAACTCGTCCACAATATTCTAAATTGATAAATAGTGCTACACAAAAAGGCCATATATACGGTTTCAATTACAAGCCGCATTTCGGATGCTGTGTGTTAAGTTGCCACATCTTCAACAACCCATCCCTTTTTATGCGGAATAACACAAGCACCCGGTGAGAATAAGTACGTAAACAAATGATCATTAACATTACCTGTGTTCAAAGGCTCCATCAATATTAACAGCTAATGCTATACGGTGCATATACTACAGCAGCAAATGTTATTCATATTACGTGACATTGCACCACAAGGACAGAAAGCCTCTCTCACTACTATGGCAATCGTTCGGCTTCCGTGAATGTGGCACTTAATTTATTTTAAAATGCCAACTTTTTTTCAATATCAACTTGATCAGTCTCATCTACCACGCAACATCATGCTCTTAAGTGAAAATTATCACTACTACGTACAAGTTCTGTGAGTAGAACAGAACAATTCACTAAAAAATCCAGTAAAATACGATAATTTCAGTTTGCAACAAATCCCGAGCGATGGATGACATTTAATCGAACTCAAATTTATCACAGACCACCTATCTGGCTCAAGATTCAAATTTGATTTGTTACAAGTTGTACGCATACTATGCTAGCATAACAGTGCTTTTTCTTCTATTTGATAGAAACATCTTTATCAGTTATAGAAATTTTTTATCATTGGCAAATAGTTGCTTCTAAGTGTTAAACCTTTAGCTTATCCTGCCATACAGCATTCCGCCACAACACATTTTTACATATGCGACACAACATGCATTGAAATAATTCATTCCGATACCATCCTGTAAAAATGTCTGTTTTTTTTTCAATCTGCAACGGTAAATTAGCCGATAATCGACTACAACAAAATGTAGGTCCGAATACAGGTTTACTAAACATACCCTTGCTAGAGAAGAACGTTGGGATTGACTCACATAATATAACATAATATTATATAGAGAAGCTTTAGGCACACCATTATTAACAGTCACGAGATTTTATGCTATACGCCCTGTGAAAAGCCTCTAGCCAGACTCGGTCAAAGTGAAGAGTGCGGGGTTAAACACAGATATTTATAAATAGCACATAATTTCATGTTACTCCTGACACACAAGCCATCACCAACAACAGCTTCGGAGGAGCTCATCCATTGGGACGACGGAGGCCTGTAAAATAGTCCGTAAGATTTCTCCAAACTCCTATACAGATTTTTCCACAGTGGGTCATCGTAACAAGTGTTTGAGTATACACATATATATATATATAAGCCTACGCCAACAAGAGTAGACCCCTATGACGATTCCGCATGGTTGACTGTTGGTGCCTCACTGTCCGCAGCTGGCAAGGAAGCAAAGTCGGGCAACGGAGCTGGGGGAGGGATGGCACCAAAGGTTTTCGTGAAGTCAAAGTCAGCAGGAAGCTGTCCTGGAGCGGGCGCTGTCTGTTCTCCACCGGCCGTCATCGTCAAGCCTACAACGCGCAAAAACAAGAGAACTGTCTTGGATGACGAGTTGTGAAAACCGATTATTGCACCAGGGAGAAATACACATTTTACATACCAGGGTATTTGCTTATTTAGCATATGTCATGTGATATTTTCAATAATGCTGAATAGCCGAGCTCGTAGAACACGAGCGTTACGTCTGATAGGTCGTTGGTTTGAATCCCATCTGTTTAGTTTTTTGTTTCTGTTTTTTTCTGTTTAGGGTTAGGGTTAGGATTAGGGTTAGGGTTCACAATGCGTATACATGTGTACACATGTGTATTGTCGACCCGAGCGATCCCGAAGTTCCGCCCTACTACCGTTCGGCTATTTCCGCAAAAATGTGTATTTCTCCCCGGTACACAATTCGTGAAAACCCAGCAGCTGCATAAGTATTCTACACTAGAACCACCATTTATCCTTTTTTAACTTTTATTTTTGTTCTTTTCTTCCTTTTTTATGACTGTGGTCCTGACTTTCACAATAACATCTTTCCAAACCAATATGCATGCGCACCTCAGTCATGGAAATAAGTCTGAAAACCCACCTGGTACCGATTTCAACAAATTTTATATTTACTATATAACATATGGTAAAATCAATCAAAATTAGCCGTCCTGTTCAAAAGTGCAGGGCGGCTACTTCCAATATTGACAGAGAATTTGAATTAGGCGGCACATCATCACTTCATTAAACAATGCAATCACACTGGCTGACAGTGGCTGAACTAGTTTCTAAAATCTGACTTTTTACTAATCAAACAGGGTGACCAAGTGCAGTAGGTGGAGCTATAATTTATCTGAAAATAATGCTAGAATCTAATCATGCTCTTCATAAAAATGTCGTTACCATTTCACAAAGCTAGTGCTACGACGATTTTTTCATCCATTTATTTTTCCATAGTTCTAAACTTTTTCTATTTAAAAAAAAGATATTAATAAAAAAAGTTTTGAAAAAACGTTTTCAAAAATGATAATAAAAAAAGATAAAAAACAAAGAGTAATTAACGTGTCACTGACCAGCAACAGGTGGCGGCACATTGACACTGACAGTGATGGGTGGCATGCCAGGTAATGAGATGGGGGTCGTCATAGGTGGCAGGGTCATGTTCGGTAAGCCAGGTATATTTTCACTTTCAGTGCCACTTGTCACCGGTGCCGCCGCTCCCGGTAGAGGAACTGTAACACAATGTAGAGAATTCTGTTGTAAGCCTAAGCGATATCCTCGAAAATAAGAGCTTTACTAAAGACGTAAGCAGCTATATTTGTAATATTTGCCATTAAAACAGTCTTCGGTGAATTTCCTAGCACTTGGATAATATATTTTTTTAAACATTTTACATAACTATATTACACTGTATTAGTATAGAAAGTCGTAAAATAGGATTCAAACAACTATATATAGTTTACAGTAACTAACGTCCGAAATAAATCACACCAGATCGGGCAAAGACATGTCCGACACAACACACTACACGCAAATAAAATTCACACACACGAAAAATACATATATAATAGAAGACATTCGGAATGTTTTGCGACTAAAACTTGCGCTATACCATTTGGATGTGCCGTCGACGATGCTACTGTAGCAGTCTGGGAAGTTGTTTGTTCCAAATTGCTCGTCTGCTGTGCAACAGGCACAGTTGGGACACCTATAATAATGACAACCAGCCTTTACACATACACATACATACATAATAAACACATACAAACAGACACATATGCACGCGCACACACATGCATGCACGCATGTACACATGCTCGCACTCACACGCACGCACGCATGCACGCATGTACACATGCTCGCACGCACACACATGCACGTGAGTTTAGGGTCACGGCTCACAATCCATGTTACCGTTTTTCGAATAGCAGAACCAAATTGTCAACAACTGTTAGTTCCTTTAACATGAATGTCTTCTGTACTATATATGCAAGCATGTAAAAAACTATACATACCATACGTGCATTATTCGCACATGATTATATTCATGTTATATTACGTTACATTTATTAATTATATATACTAGCTGGAACCCGCGCTAAGCGCGGGCTTAGTGACTGTGATGCATGTGTTACCGGTAGTGTTATGTGTAAGGTGTTATATAGAGAGTTTAGTTGTTGCACATGTTTTTTTATGGTTAAGATGTCAATAGAAATACATGTACAATCATGCTTACACGTAACGCATTAACCATTTGTTTGGCAAGTACACAGTGAAATACACACGCACGCACGCACGCACACACACACACACAGACACACACACACAGACACACACACACACACAGACACACCCACACACACAGACACACCCACACACAATACATATATTTACGTACCTGCTATGAGAGGTATGGTATTGTCCTGTGGTGAAATGTTCATTGCTGCAACTCCCTGACTAACATCGACCACGCCACTGTTACCACTGCCTATCGGTGTCGTCAGATTCGGCTAGCGACAAACAAAAGTTTACGTAAACAAATCATAAATTTTACATTTGCTAAACACACGACGGGTGTTAAGACACGTGTCAAAATAATCCCTCGAGACTTTAAGCTGCGTAACCCCCCCCCCAACCAAAGCTATTTCTTGTAATGCTCAAATAACGAAGTTTGCTTTTTCAACACATAGGTGGCGCACAAGTCGTGGTCACACTAGGGTCCCTGTATACAGAGAGTTGCGCCATGACGAGTCGGAAAAAATCGGTCACGTGGTCGCTGGACGACATGTTGTTTCCAAATGGATACGCACGGCTATGGCCGTAAGAAAGTGTACAATTAAATTATCATATGGCGCGAACGATTTGAGTTACATTTCCAGAAATCTAGATACACATAGACACATGTCTTAGCTATAATCTGTGTAATTTTTGAGTTTATTGAAGCACGATTAGTCTAATTATAATTACTACGGACCATTGTACAGCGTATCCATACAGCGCTGTACTTAAGCGGCAGCGGTGAGGTTCCATATGGAAACAAAATGGTGTCAAATCCTGATTTGGCGCAACTCTCTGTATATATAGGGACCCTAGGTCACACACCTGTCTCACTATTGCAATGTTGCAACTTCGTAACCACGGCCCGACTATCACGTCAAATTGCACGAGTTGCTGAACAAAATTGACACATCCTACATTATAACAGTGTACACTCACAGGCACGGGAGGTGAGTTGGCCTGCTTGAGTTCTGGTCTCGCTGGTATTCTGTGCAGATATCCATAGCCAATTCCACAACCCATGCTGGGGACAATATTACTCACAATTAAACAAGACCAATAGTGTTTGCACACCCATACACACTAACCAAACATGTAGGTCCCAACTTGTTTTATTTCGTAACTACAAACCTGCATAAAATGGACACGCTTTGTGGGTTGAAGTAATGTCATGCATTTATTACACTTGGGTTTAAGGTAAAATGCAATTCCAAATTAGAAATGCATATTAACGGATATCTGTGCCCTATACCTGCTCTCTAACACGTTACAGGGTAAACCAATATCGTGCATTTATTACACTTAGGCTTACGATAAAATACAATTCCATCTTAGAAATGTATATATAGGATATTAACGGATGTCTGTACACTACCTGCCCTCTCCACCCCATGCTGTGCTGGGTGTGATGGTCACTTCCCTACAGCTGTCGCTGTCGTTGTTGTAAACGTAGAGTTTTAGCGGTTTTCCTTCGTGTGCTTCGATCAGTGTGAACAAGTCTTCGGACTACATCGATAAAGAGAAAATCGTTCAGTTATTTTTATGGAGTTTCTCTTATTATTCTATACTAAGTTATTAAGCTACAATATTATTTGATTACTTTTACGGAGATATCACTATTTTCGTATTCTATACTGATACGACCACACGTACGCATGCAAGCATTCATGCCCACATGCCTGCACACACACACGCATGCACGCACACACGTATGCACTCACACACACACGCATACATGCCAACACATAATATGCAAAAACATGCACATACTCACGCTCTTACGCAAGTACACATGCACTCACCTCACACCCACATGTACGCATGCACGCAACCACTCACGTCCGCACGCACACCTGTACGCACACGCATATATGTCGAAAGTATAACATATAGAACTAGACAGAAGGCACTCACGGAGAGTGCATACCTCCGCCAGCGACATACGCCATACAACTCACGAACACACGAATAACCGACGATATACGCCAGCGTACATGTAACATGTATGTGTTACGAGCTGGCTCGTTGCTCGCTGCTGGCTGCT